TTCTGCTTAACAAAGGAACTGGTTAACTTCTCACAAAACATCTACTATCACCTTTAAACTACAGTTGCATCTCATGAAGCTAATTGTCTGAGTTTAGTGCAGGTTTTCTTTTTGGCTAGAAGTTCCAGAGCCTAGAAGTTCATCTCACACACTTGCAGAAAAGTGTATGCAATTCAGAGAAGGTTTAAGGAAAATTAAGTGTGAAACTTCCAGTTACACCTCAAAGTCATTTTACCAAAGAAAATAACTATAAATTAATTTATAATATAAAATGAAAGAAGAAATTATCACTAGTTATATTCTAATACAACTCATTGGTGCAATAAATTTTCTTTAATACAAAATGCATATGCTTCCTTTTCTCAATAGAATCTGTATGTTTAAGACAACACTAGCATCTTTGTGGCTGTCCAAGAGCATTCATTACTTTGTTGCGAATCAAGTTTGTAAACACTTAAGTGGACTACACTACAGAGGTAGAGGGATAGAGATAGGCTCATTCACTCATTTCATGAAGCCAGAAATTTGGGGCAGGGGTGGAGGAACATGTTTGCCTTATAGTAAAATACTTTTTCAAGTATGATTCAGTTTCATTATGTTGATTCCAGAATAAAAAAACACAAAAAAACCCAAAAAACAAACCAAACAAAAGAAAACAAACAAAAAAAAGAAAAAAGGCAGCGAAAACCCAACAGTTTAAAAAAAACCCCAAAAACAAAACCACAGGAAAACTTTTTCTCTTCATCGGTTACATGTTTCTATAATTTTCCATAGAGGCATTGATTCCAAAATCAGACACTCACATGGAAAAGATACGTATTTTACTGTATGACAGGTAGTGTAAAATAATCTGTTGGAAATTCCAGCAGCATGAATACTAGTATATCTAAAATTTTTAGAAAATTCTAGAGAAGGAAAGTTGTCTTTCTGAGGTAACATCTTTTTCAGTATAGGAAAAGCTGGAAGCTGTTAGCAAGTTTTATTGACTTTCTTACAATTTACAAAGGCCTGTTATGCTAGCATAACAGTTAGATAGCATCAGAAACAAAGCCTTCAAAATTTGAAAATACACCCATGGGAAATTTTCACATTACAAATATCATTCAAAAGTGAGAACATGGAGTGGCAGGTTCCAAAGAATGTCATGAAATGCCACAGTTAATCTTAAAACCTGCCTTACAGATTTTCTAAGTCTGTTTAAGAAGCATATAAGAACATATGAATCTACTGAGAGAGCAGGTAGTATTTATAATCAGAACAGGACTGAAATTGTAATAAAATGCTGCCAAACCTATACCTTCAAATGTGAAGAAAGCTAAAGAGAAGCACCAAGAGCATGCTCTTCTCTAAAAAAAAATAAATTGTAGTGAAATTAGATTTTAATCAATCTCAAAGATACACCTAAACCCTTCTTCAAAATACTGCATTTCAAAATTAAGGTTTTATAATTGGAATTTTCACTTCTTTATCTGAAGGGGACAAAATAAGAGATACTTAAAATAATTTCCTATGTTATAGATAGATTGACTTCAAGGAGACAAAAAGAACAATGTGCTACTTTTCCATCAGGTGTAAGCCAGCCTAGAAAAGATCTTTCATAGTACTATACTTCTTAAATTAAATGTAAGCATTTTCTTTCAATGCCTTATTAACTTTAAAGAATCAGCAGCATTCCTTATTTGGAATCTTGTGATGCAGTTGAGCAACCATTATAACAATGGCAAGAAGTGAAGTCAGTTTAATTTTAAAAGGAATTATATTCTGTCTCCTTAATTTTTTTTTTTTTTACTTTTGTTCCTTGTAAGAGCTCTTTTCAATGTATCAGGCGTTCAACGTGAGATCAGTGAAATCAGTCCTGTTCTTTACAATCACAAATCTCCTTATTCACTATAATAAATTGAATAGGAAACCACCTTATTTATGCCTAATATGTGTAAAATGAATAGAACCAAAAGAGTAGTTTTTCCCTTTTTTAAGGCCTGGCAACCAAGTGGCTAGAAATTATGCATATATAAGTCTATGTCCTCCCACTATTTCCAGACAAAATGCTTTTGCATTAAAAAGACATGCTACTACAAAATAGCAAAAAGACTCAAGATTTTGAAAGAAAAATAGTAATTTCTGGATTGTTTCTGAGAGTTACACTGAGATTAAACCTGCTTATTAAGGATATGTTGCACTAGATGGGATTTAGTTAGAGAAAATTTCCAGCCCAGACTGTTTTTATCTTGAAAGAAACTGAACCATGAAAATTCGAAGACTTAGTTGAAAGGAATTAGATTGAGGACAACTTTTGAGCATATATTTGAGGTGGCAATGAAGCCATTTAGAAGCACGTGCTTTCAGAAACTATTACTGCTCTGCAATCTAACCTGTGAGAGACACCAGGAAGCCAGTAGTTTGCCCTTAAAATAAGCAGGATTTTAGACTGTTTCTATTATCATCACTCAAGAGAAAGAGGGTCAGTTAAATACTACTTTGTTGTGGGTTTTTGTGTTTTTTATTTTTTTCTTACTTCATAAAAATGTTAACTCCTTACCAATGTCAAAACCTGACCAAAACAAGGATCAATAAAAAAATAAAACTGAGTTCAGTTTGACCTGAAAACATACTCTTTAGTGAAATATGAAAAATTCTTTCTCACCAAAATAAACATCTCCACCCCCCCAAAATTACAACCCATAAAAGCATAACAATATATCTCTTAAATCTTGTTTTGTTTATTTGAACAAAAGCTTCTTTACCTTTTTTGTTCACGAAAAAAAACATATATATTTACTGTCACGGTTTTCACTTCCAGGGGATATTGTAAGTTTAGGCCATGTTCTTTCACATATATGCATTTGAAATGTCCTAGTTATTTATGCTTTTTCACATTTTCATTATGACGGGATTGGATTTATTACCGTGTTACACATATAAGAATTAAATAGCACATTCATGTGAGTTGACAAAAAAGAACATTTAGAGATTTTTTTTTCAAAACTAATAAAAAATCACTGAATTTAGTGACAAACTGGGGGAAAAAACACACTTAAAACATACTGATATACCTTGTACATCTTGTATTCTGCTATTCAGTAATTTGAATGCCTTCTTTCATTTTCTCGTAACTTCATTTGAAATAGGAAAGCTTGATAATCACATCATCTCAGCATATATTGAAAAATAATGTTAAATTGTAACTTCCTAGTTTAACCTAAACTTAAAGATGAGGGCACGATCATCATATCTTCTTTGAGGTATTGCACCTCATATAAGCTTAACTAGAGTGATCTTGCAGGTGTGTCTTTCAGTGGTCACTTGCAGAGACACTAGAAAAGGATTTGCAGATTCTCTGTTCAAGGCTTTTCCACCAAGCCTTATTACTGAGGTTAAAATATAAAACACTGGTCTAAGGAATTATTCTAGAACACAACAGTTAAGAAATAGAGCGTATGTATTTTTATTTCTCTGAAAAAAGAGAAATCATTTTTTGTCAGGTAATGTCAGAAATGATATTCTATATAAAATTACTTATAAAGCTTTCTCTGATGTACATTGAACTTTTTTTCTTTTCTCAAACTAGAGAAATAAAGAGATTATAATAACTATAATAACTAACTGAGAAATTATCGTAACTAACTGACTGCCAGCTAGTTATGTAAAACATCAGAGTAACATAATTTTGTTAAATCTTTCCTCATCTCCCAGATTCCTCTAACACATTACCTTTACCTTAGAAAGCTTACTGTGTGATATGCAAACCACAAAATATATAAAAAATGCAAACTGCATGTAATAAAACCATTTCATTTTAAAATTATCAATTTCCCGCCTACTTATTTCTTCCTTTTTTTCTTTCCTCACTTAGGTGTTTTGAATGGGTTTATAAACACAAAGATAATGTGAAATCACCATATGACATAAAGCCAGAAGAGAGCTTTAGATTTATTAATACAATCTGGTTTTCCTATATATCAAATATATAATAATATGTATATTTAATCCTTTCTAGTATGTGATGAATATTCAACAACTGAAAAGGAAACAAATCAGTAACTTGGATAACAGCTTAAAATTAATTCTAAATATGTTTAAGTGTTTATATATGTGTCTCTACTCAAAAAATGCATCAACCACTGTTGTTACAGACAGTAGGAGTCATATACATTCACTGAGAAAAAGAGATAGCATGTTTTGAAGGCATATTACAATATTTTTTTCCTTACAAGATACAGAATTTGAAAGACAGCTGAGAATGAAAGAGAAAAGTGGGTTAAAATTTAGGTTTAGTTTAAATTAAAAAAAGGTGGAATAGATCATGGGCAGCGTATAATTCTCTGATTCCTTGGAGTCATTCAAAAACAGCCTGCAAGGAATTACATGCAAGAATTTACTGGAAACAATGTACAACTTTTTGGTTCTTAATTTCTTTTAAAATAGTAATATTAAACACTACCAATTTGATATGTATCAAAATTAATTTAAAAACTCAGTCTGCATTAAGAGTGCTAAACCACTCTGAGGACTATTAGGGAAATACATCTGCATGTATCAAACTGTCACGTTCCTGAGAAATACACCATAGAAAATGCAGTATTCTCTATTAGATTTCAGTGGAAATTTCTATAATAATATCTGAATCTTCTTCTGTGAGGTTTTATGTCTCTCTTTGTTTTGCATTCAACTTTATTTTGTCCTTCACAAAAACCTCCAGAACCACATACGCTCCATATTTGTAAAACTAATACAGTATTTACATGAAAAAACTATTTTATCTTACCTTTAATCCAATTTTTGCTGGATTATCACATATATATGCTCTCTTCCAAGCAGGTATTTTATCTTCTTTGCATACTAAATACAGGTTATATTGCACTATATAGAGAATTCCATTTATCTTTTACTGGAAAGTTCAGTTTTGAAAGAGTAACTCCACACAACACTACAGTTTTAACATATACATTTTCCAAGTTTGGTATTATAGAAATGATACAATAGTAGAGTTTATATTTTACCTAAAATCTGAGCCTATCCGTTTTCCATTTTCTGGTTCTCCAGGATCTGGACACAAATTGGATGCCTGTTTAATACCTCCCTCATTTACTGCAAAAAAAAACAAACAACAAAACAAAAAAAATACAAACAAAAAAGAAGATTAAATAACACAGTTTTTAGGAAATACAGAGGTAAGCAATTAATAAATATGAAAAGGTACAGTAGTTGCATTTTAGCTCCTTTAAAATAGATTTTCTACAGAATATGATCACCCATATAATCTTTAATTTCAGTAAGTCTCTCCTCCCTATAATAAGCAGAACATGTGTTTTCTTCTTTGTTGTAAAAATAAAACAGATAGGTTTTTAAAGTTTTACTAAACAGCTCTTTTGTTTGCTCGTAATATTGTTGAACCCATATGGAAAAGCTATTACTATTCATCTACAAACACTAACATTAGTAAGAGTGTTCTTCAGGTTTAGGGCTGTAAGATTTTATTCTGAACAGAATTCAATAAATGTCATCTCCACCAAAATCTGACCTTTTCTCCTTGAATTATAATCAAACCTCAGTGCATAGGCTCATGCTGAGAGAACTGTCCTTAATCAGTATTGAAGCTGCAGATATCCCCAAATATGGTGAACTAAAAGTAAATGCAAAATGCCAGATTGATTTGCATACATTTATCTTTCAGTAAACTAAAATGGATCTTCAGAGAGAAACTTCCTGTGAACCTTTTAGTGTGTTTTTCCAGAAATTTACATATAGCGATCTAACCCTCAGCATATACAACTACCTCTTCATTCATTTTTTTAATGTATTACATACTTTCTTGAATTTTTTACCTCTTGCAAATGTGTGTCTTACAAAAATAATTTTAGCCAAAATAGTTTTATTTATTTTTTATTTATTTTTAAGTCATTGAATCACAATGTAGCAATTCCAAGAAGAAAAAATCACAAAAAAAGTAGCAAAGGAGGTTACTCTGCTATCGCTTGGTAAATTCATGCCTGATAGAAGAGTATTTTTTTCAAAAATACAAGCTGATATGAAACCAAGAGATTTACACTAAGGAAAACAGATTTTCACCTTTATTAATCTTTATTTCTGAGTAACTAGGCCAATAAATTTACAGTATTGGATTCTAACTTTCCTTTAAAGTTTACATTTAATTAGACTAATCCCATTATGTCATAAACTGAATGTAACCAAATAAAAAAAATGTAGTTTCTAGTTATACTTCTAAAGGGTGTTCACTAAATTTCAGCTTTTAATGAAAGACAATAATATTCAGAGTTTTCCCTGCCTTGAAATTTGTCTTGTTACACACAAAGAAAGGGAGGAATTGGTTTGGTACCCCAAAGGCAGTCAAAGGCCAAATGAAAATGTTGCAGAGGGTTAAAATGAAAACATTTCAGCTTAGCCCACTGCTTAGAAAACCCACCAAGCTCAGTCCTTGCCAGTTGCAATCCCAATATTTACCCTCCTCTGTCCTGAAAGAGCAGGTTCTTCTAACAGCAAACCGTTTCAATCTCTGCTCAGCTGTGTCTCAGGGGACTTTGGGGCCAGGATAGCTCTTCCTTAGATCCCATCAGTATTATCAGGTTTCAATCTTTTCCTCCCCCAATACTTGTAGGTGTGTACTAGCTATAGAAACCCAAGTTCCTGCTAATGTTGGAATATATATATATGTATATAAAACCCCCTGCATTTCACAAAGCCACCTAGCAGGAACTTTTCAGATGTGCATTTAGAATGAACCCTCTCTTTGAAATATCTGTGTGATTTTCTATCATTCTAACGTCTTTAACAAGATGCGAGAAATTCAGAATGATAAGTAGCCTGTATATATAGAAAAGACCTTGAATCCTCACTAGAGAGTGAGAATTCACTGAGCAATGCAGGAAAGAAAAGGAAATATACTTGAGAACAAGTAGGGAAAAAGACACTTTCTCAGTTTTGTGACAGTTCGTTAACTTTTCTGACATTAAACATATGTTAAATCTACAGTTAGGAAATTATTCATGATGCCTGAAAGCCATATTAAAGAAATTAAAACAAAATGGTGCCATTTTGGGGATGTATCATATATCTATGCACACAGCAAGAATACTATTAAAAAGAGGTAAGATAATATTTAAACAGAACTATTTCTATTTATTGTAATTCATGTTTTAATATTTCAAATAATTATTACATTTTTTACCCTGTATATTCCCATACACAGGTTATTATTACCTGTGAATATTCATATGAAAAAGAATATTCTACTGGATCTGAAAGCATAGGAACTGCTATATACTTCAATTTCTACCAAAAAAGGAAGTTTGAAAAATCTATTGTTTTTTGACATCTCACATATAATGAGTTTCAAATGATAAATTATGGAGATTATAAATATTCTTAAATAAAAATAGAAATGTTTATGCTAAATAAAATCAATACAATAGTAAGTCACAAAACTAAAATACATAACACAGTGAAACTTCAGAAGAAGACATTGAATTGATTTCTGATTTGATCCATTCTGATTTCTGTTAAGTACTTAGCAAAAAAATAAATGTATATTTTATTGGTTTTGTACAGATGTTATCTTTCCAGACATAATGCTCGACTTTTCAGTCTTCTGAAATACAGCTCTGTGTAGGTCCCCAGACATCTATCTGTATATGTTTGGTTTACACCCCAAATACTCATGTAAGCAATGAAAGGCTTTCCTGTGGTAAATTAAAGGCTCCTTTAGGGAAAGCACTTATTCATGGTCTGGTCATGAAACTGGGAGCATGAAATTCCAAAGTTCTGGTCTGGATTGAATTAAGTCCCCAAATGATCTCTTTTATCACTCTCAACACTTGCAAAATGAAGTTGATGCATACTTGTGTTTCATCATACCAAATATTATCATTCTGGCTTTACTAAGTGCAAATCACCTGTGCATGAGTACTGAATATTATATACCTGGCACAACTAAAAAAAAATAAAATAAAATGGGGAAAAGACATACACATGAGAAATGTTAGATGATAATTTCTAAAGACATTGCTAATACAAAGCTTAATGTAGCATAGGTATTCACTTAGCCTTATTACTTCCATTAATACTTGAATGATGATCATTCTTTTTTCTAAAGAACACTATCTGTTGCTGTAACATAAATGCAGGTCTGGCTGAGGCCACACTGGGAACTTTATCTGAAGTCAACAGCTAAATACATTGGCTTTTCATGAAACACTGCTTCTTCCATTTCCTCAGCCATCAAACTGACTGGCTAACCACATGCCAGATTACAACATAAAATCTTAGTTATCTATTCATGACAAGATTATGATCTCTAAATGTATAAATCATCAAGGTTTTCACCTTTACATATTATTGACTCATAGAGGTAGTCTACACTGCATAATCAATAAAACAAGATACTGAAGTTTTCAGCTTTACCTAGGATATCATAACATATGAAATTATATAGAGACTTTCAAAAACATACTGATAGATTTCATCACTAATTTCATAACAACAACCTTTACAAATCACAACTGTCTGGAACTTTGCTATAAATATGTAATTCTTATTGATGTTTGTATAGTGGAATATTTAATGATCAGTGAAAAGTAAATTTAGAGAGAAACAATTTGTTTTACCAGCTAGGGTACTATTATCATCTGTAACTATAAAAACATGGATTATCAGACAGAGACCTCCATGATGTACCATATAAACACTTACTGTTATTTCTTGTTGCACGATCACTCTACTTTCAAGTCACCAAAAAAAGTCATCCGTAAAAAGAATACTTGTTTTTAAATATGTTGACACAAAGTT